CAAAGAAAGGGTGCACAAGCCCTGGAGAGGACATGGGGAGCAGGACAGAGACAGGCTGGTGGAGAGTCAGTCTACAGAGCTGCAGAGAAGAGGAAGAAAGAGCAAGAAGGAGACGAGCCTGAGAGCAGCGGCGGCAGCGGGGCCAGGGGAAGAAGCAGTAGAGAGAGACAGGGCTCCGGCAGCCCTGAGTGGGGCCCAGGGGAGGGGTGCAGAAGGGCAGGACCGGCTGCCAGGAGAGAGGCGGCCCTCAGTGGGGAAGGAAAGAGGAAAGGGGCCCTGGAAGAGGACAAGGAGCCCAAGAAAGAAGTGCAACTGGGGAGGGATGGTTGGGAGAGGAGGCTGGGGCAGGGGGAGGCAGTGTGGAGCTAGAGAAAGGGGTGACCCCCTCCCATAAGGCCCAAGCTCGGGGCATCCAGCAAGCACCGCTGGAGATGGGGTGGGGGTGGAGGACAGGGCACCTTCTGCGCTCTCGGGGCCCCTATTGCCCAATCAGAGCCAAGTGGCTAGTTCTGTCCGATCCATTAGTCCAACTCCGCACCAGGCAAGAAGGGGTTAAGCTCTCCCCCCTCCCCCAACACCAGTTTTTTAAAAAAATTAATCTCTCCGGACCTCGGGCAGAGGGAGAGGATTAGGGACACAAATCCTATCTCCACCCCATCTCCTAACGGCCCAGAACCCTAGCTCTGTGCGGGCCGCCCTAGGGACAGGGGAAGAAAGGTCCTTGTCTCCTCGCCCTATCCAACCCCACTCGGGTTCCCACCGCAAGCCGGAGACCCCCTCCCAGCTCCGCTTCCCCGTCCAACTTGGGGCTCTTGGGGTCCCAATACCTCACCTCCAGCATCTGTCATCTTCAGCGTCCGGCGCCTCAGAAACCCCTCAGGCCCATGGTGTTTGGGGCTGGGGCCAGGCGGGAGAGGGGCGGGGGACAGTCACCCCGGCCTCGGGGGGCTCCGGGCTGGCTCCATCCGCTCCATCCCGGGAGTAGGGGTAGGGGTCAGCGAGGGGGGGTCTTGGAGCCGGAGGGAATGTGGGGGTGGGGGTGGGGGAGTTCGGAGAGAGAAGGAGAAGCTTTGCAGGAAGCAGGAGGCACGGCGGGAGGGGCTGGACCAGGAGACCTGACGGGAGGATGCTCCGTGCGTGTGTGTGCGTGTGTGCGAGTGTGTGTGTGTGTGTGTGTGTGTGAGAGAGAGCGAGGAGAGGAGAGGAGCGGAGAGGAGACGAGAGGAGAGAAGAGAAGAGAGAGGGAGGGAGGGAGAGAGAGAGAGAGAGAAACCGTCTCCCCGCCCCGCCCGGCTGGACGCGGGGTCCCCCGCCTGGCAGGCGGATACTCTTAGCGTCGTGTCAACGGGGATCCGCGGGGGGTCCCCAGGGAAGGGGCGATGAGGGGGCGCGTGGCGGGGAGGCCGGGCGCCCGGGAGACAAAGAACGGGAGGGAGGGAGGGAGGGAGGGGCGGAGGCAGCGGGAGCACGGGGGAGGGAGGGAGGAGGCGGCCCCGGTTGGCGGAGCCGGGCGAGGGGATTCTAGTTACCGCTACTCCTCGGCCCGCGGGAGTCGGGGCGGGTGTGAGCGGACGGAGATGCGGCCCCACCTTAGGACCTACTGGGCTTCTGCCTCCTCTGCAAGGCCTGTGAGGGCTCCTGATTCATCCATTCAACAGAAGTCCACAGAGCAGTCGGATGCCCCGAGGCCCGAGGGGACCGTGGAGAACAGAGCCGGCCTGGTCCGGGCCGTCGTGGCTCTCGCAGCGTTGTCAGGGGGACAGACGAGTGGGGAGGCCCTCAAGAGAGCGGGTGCTGTGAGCCTTGGTTCACAGAGGACACTTCAGCGCGGGGAGAGCACACCAGAGGGAGCCAGGCCTCGCCTGGGGGCGGGTGAGGATCGGGGCGGGGGCTGTGTGTGGAAGTGATCCAGGAGGATTCCTGGAGGAGGTGACCTGTTGGCTACTTCTGCAGGCCAGGGCAGGGTAGAAGTGCTAGTGGGACTTGTGGGGGTAGGGAGGAAAGGAGAGGAAGATGAAGGATGGGGGGAGGGGCTTGCACTTTATCCTACCAGCCATAGGGGAAAAAGTAACAGAGGAGTGAGGGGCTCTGATTTGCATTTTAGGAAGAACCCCTCGGCTCCTTTGGAGAAGGCTGCCTGAAGGCTGGGGCACCACTCATGAGGCTGTTGAGAGGTGATGGCAGTGGGCACGAGGATCAAAGGTCATGATGAGGAATATTAAGGATGTAGAATTGAAGAAACGGACAGGATTTGGGGACTGGCTGGCCACAGAAGGAGAAGGAGGGGTCTAGATGACTGCAGGCCTTGGCTTGAGGCCCTGTAGGTGGAGGGGGCGTGGGGGGATGAGGTCAGACTTGGACCTGGTGAGCTGGAGGTGGTGGCAGGTCAGCCAGGGGAGAGAATACAACAATCAACAGCTAGCTACGTCCCGAGATGGTGCAGGGGGTACCAGACGCTGTGCTAGGCACTGTTCTCAGATGATAATGTCACCCTCACGATAAACCCGTGAGGTAGGCGTTTCTGTTACCCCCTTTGTCTGTTCAAGAGCCAGTGGTGAGGTTGGGCAAGGGGGTCCAGAGCCCAGGGGAGCGGTGTGCAGTCTGTAGGGATAGAGTTCCCTGATGGCCAAAGTCTCTGCAGTCCCAGGTCTCTGAGGGGCTCTGGGAGGTGGCACGTTGTGCCCGGATGGTCTCAGGACCATGGGTAAGGACAGAATTCATAACCTTTAGGGGCTGAAGATCCAATGAGATCGTGGGAGTTTTGGCATCTCTGGGTGTCTTTAGAATCTGCTGGCAGCCATGGGATGCTGGCTGGACTGTGGAGATCTGGGGAGGGAGTGGTGACTCTGGAGGTGTTATCGGGGCTGTGTCTGGGAAACACAGTTTGTGGGCATTTGGTGAAATCTGGGTGGTAGGCTGGAGTGAGGGATTGATTATATAGCCCCCGTAGGGAGTGGGGAGCTGATAGGTATGTAATGTCAATGTTGGGGGCACATTCTATGGGAGGGTGTCTATAGACCATAAGACTCAGGAGGACCCCCTAAATTTCTGGGAGCTGGGAAACTCCCCTCATCTGATTTCCCTCCCTTATGGCGAATGTTGGGGCTGTGGCAAACCTACGCAAGCTCCTAAGAAATGGGGAGGTGGCAGGGCAGGGCTGGGGTAACGCCTCACACAGGCTTGCCCATGGCTACTTGACATAGCCCCAAACGTGGACATAGCTCACAGGTGAGTCACCTCTCAGGCCTGAGGAACTCGCAAAGCCACACACGCCGTCCCCAGCCACACACCACACTCAGGCTTTGACTTGGGCTACTTTCCAAAGGGATTCCACCTTTTGGAACATACGGGGTGCAAGCCCCTCACCTAATACACGGGACAGATGGGGGCAGGACCCCACCCTGGATGCTCTGCTCTGATCAGATCAACAGAAGCCCTCATCACAACCCCCATGTCTGCCTCGCCACCCAGGAAGATCCAGCCACTTCACTCCTTGGGAACTTTTTTTTTATTTTAATGAATTTATTTATTTTTGGCCGCGTTGGGTCTTCGTTGCTGCGTGCGGGCTTTCTCTAGTTGTAGCGAGTGGGGGCTACTCTTCGTTGCAGTGCGTGGGTTTCTCATCACAGTGGCTTCTCTTGTTGCGGAGCACAGGCTCTAGGTGCGCAGGCGTCCGTAGTCGTAACACGCGGTCTCAGCAGTTGTGGCTCATGGGCTCTAGGGCACAGGCTCAGTAGTTGTGGCGCATGGGCTTAGCTGCTTCGCAACATGTGGGATCTTCCCGGACCAGGGCTCGAACCCGCGTCCCCTGCATTGGCAGTCGGATTCTCAACCACTGTGCCACCAGGGAAGTCCTCCTTGGGTCTTCTTGGCCAGGTTGCCTGAGCAGGGCCCAAGTCACCTGTAACTCTGGAGATGTGACCTGTGATCTTGTGGTTTGGTGGTTTCTGATCCTGGGATTCAGCCACCTGGATTTGTCTTCCCAGCAGTGTTCCAAGGAAGATCCACTTGTAAGAGAAAATGCCTAGAGAGGCATGGCCACCATCTCCAGGTTGCCAGGTTGATTCTTAGGTGGGTGGCAGAATTGGACTGGTTATATATGGCCCTGAGGTGTAGAACTAGGATTTTTGGAATGAAGCTATGGGAAGCCAGAATTTGGCTTGACATGAAGGAGACTTGTGTGACAGAGCCATCCAGAAGGGAGTGGCCACCCCAGGAGCTGACTGCCACTGGGAGTTCTGGTAGAGGCCACTCGTCTCGGGTTTGTCAGGGACCCACCAAAGTGACTTTGAAGGGCCCTCATGTTGGGACTTCCATTCTTTAGGGCAAAGAGAACTGTGAGAATCCTCTTGGCGGCCGGGCCACTGAACACAAGTGTCTTGTGCTTTTTTCTCACACATAGCACACAGCTCCCAGAGCAAGGAGAGGCCCCACTGCCCCCTGCTCTCATCTCTGTCTGGGATTTCACTGAAGTTTGTCCCTGGAACCCTGGCATCTGGACTCCCAGACCCATTGGTATTAGAACTGGTGAGTTAGCAACCAAACCTGCTGGCACAGAGCAGAGGTCTAGGACTACTTAAGGCCTCTCTGGCTACCGCCAGAGGGATTCTCTAGAACCCAGGCGACAAAATTGCTCTGACATCTCCCACCCCCAGCTGCACCTCCAGAAAACTAGGGGCTGGGTATCCCCATCAGGTTACACTTCTCAGGGGAGGGACTCAGGGTTCACCTTACTATATCTAACCCATCCTTTGAATTCCATCAGAGACCTTGAAAAAGAGGAAAGCGATGAGCCTAAGGAAAGCTCTAGAAACCCCAGCCCTGCCCGGAAGGGATGGGGGACGGCGGGGGGATGGTGGCAGACGGAATTTGCGGGAACAAGGGTTCTCAGTATAAAGATCCTCAGGTTCAGAGGTAGCACTAGTGGGAGACCACTGGGCTCAGACTGGCATCTCTGCCCCCCACCCCCTCCTGCGAATCAAGAAACCAGGCAGCAAGGCTCTGGGGGCTGCGTTTATGGGGACGACCTGACAGAGGGCATGGTCCGTACAAAACCGGGAACAATACATACATATATATATTATATACAGAGACGCAGTCCTGTGGAAGGCGGGACAGAGGTGGCCCCGGCCGGAGAAACCAGAAGCACCCCCCCACAGCCCCGCCCCCTCCATCTGCTGAGGCCGAGGAGGTGAAGTGCATGGGCCCAGGCACTGAGACAGCCAGCTCCTTCGGGGGTAGGCGCACGTCTGGGGGCAGGAAGTGGGTGCTGAGAAATACTGATCGATGGCATGGTCTATTTACAGGGGACGAGGAAAAGCCAAAATGGATGGAACAAGCGTCGTTTTTTAAAAAAAGAACAAAAACCCAGGCCGAGGCAGGGGCATGAGGAAGAGGCAAAATGAGAGATGTAATCTGAAAGGGGAGGGGACCTGGGGTGAGGGTCTCACCTCCCTTGGTCCAAGCCCCAATTTGGGGTTAAAGTGGGGAAACGGAGTTGATTTCACTTAGAAAGCAGGCTGCCAGCAGGGCAGCCCTGGTCTCCAAAAAGATGAAAAGTAGTAAAATTTTGCCCTCCAGTCAAAACATTGGAAAACTGTGGGTGTGGGTGGGGTGAGGCTGAATCTCTGCCATGTTAGTACAAGGCTTCCAGGTGTGGCCCTGCGTAGGGCAGGACAGGGCCTGGCTCTCCAGTGACAAATGTTCCCCTCACCTAAAACCAGGCCCCCTAAGCTGACCTCCTCTCCTCCAGCTCATTCCCAGGGTTGGCCAGGAAACCTGGTCCCCAAAGAGGCCGCAGAACAGTTCCAGGAAGAGGTTATGGCTATTTGGCACCTGGGGGGCAGGGGAGGCACAAGGAGAAACTGAGGGCTGCTGCCCCAAGAAAAGGGGGAGCTGGACATCAGGTGTCCCGGACTCTCCCCTTTTCACGAAGGATACGTGAGAAATCAGTGCAGGGCCAGGCCCAGCCTCCAGGCTCTGGGTAGACTCTACCCATCCTGGGAGGGCAGACAAGGATGGCAGGAGAGGTGTAGAGGCAACCCCTCCCAGCAGGAGGGTCAGGATGCAACAGAACAGCACGATGACGGGGGAGCGGGGAAGGGACAGGAAGGTAGACTCAAGTCAAGAGGCCCAGGGGCCGCCTAGGAGCCCCGTGAGCAGGGAGCAGCCTCCAGGTGGTGAGGTGCTGGGAGAGCCCCCGGCCCCTTTCCAGTCCAGAGACAAAGGCTGGAGGCTGTAACGTCTGGCAGTTTGGTCTGCAGGTCCTCGTGTCCATCCACCACCCAGGCCAGCCCTTGGCATCCCATGGCCTCTGTGCCTCAGCCCCACAGGCTAGAAGGAGGCCATCCTTCCAGCCACCTGTCTGCCCGGGGCCACCTTAAGGGGGCCTGTAATATGGGCCCTCTGGTCCCTGAAGCTGGGGGAGGTGGGGTGGAGGGGTGGGGGAGTCGGGGCACCTGTCCCCAGGCTGGTAGGGGGCGGGGTGAAGTATTGAGGACAGGGGAGGGAGGAGGACAATGGGAGGGGATTAGTTATTGTCCGGTCAAGGAATGATTCCTGTTAAGTAGAATTGGAATTCCTCAGTGTTTGCAGGTTTCCTTCCAGTTCCGAGATCTGAAAAACAAAGGGGAGAGGGAGTCAGGCCTGGGCGCTGGGCATGCATGGTCCCTGCCCTTCGGGCCCCCCTGAAGGAGACATGACCCTGAGCTCCCAGCCAGCAGCATGACTCCTCTCTCTCCCTGCAGGATCCACAGGGTGGGTGCCAGAGGGGGGCTGACCTGCCTGCCCCTAGGGCACCCCTGGGCCTACCTTGTCCAGGAGCTTGTCCATCTCTTCCTTCCTCGCCAGCTCTGACTCCTCTAGAACCCGGCGCTGTGCCGTCTCCTTTTTCAGGAACTCAATCTCCCTGGGTACCAGTGGGAGACAGACAGTGGGTAAGGGTGTCTGGTCTAGCTTCCATCCAGAGAGTCTCAGGGTCCTCAGCCCCGTCCTCGGCTCCACCTGGGCAGCTTTTGCCGGCTCCTTGTTCTCAGGTCGGGAGGTCCCAGCTCTTCCCAAAGCCTCTGGGGCCTGGCTCGTTGCCTCTGGCGCCCAGTCATTACAAACCCAGGCATCCCCACCGCAGGGCCCTCCAACTTCTGTGCTCCTTGCCTCCCTACTTGGCTGGGGTGGGGAGGGAATGCCACCACAGGCCTCTCAGTCCCCCCTAGGCCCAGGAACCCCAGCCCCCAGCCACGTACTTCTGCTGGTAGTCCTTGATGAGGCGCTTGGCCTTGCTGTACTTGCGCTCCAGCGCCTGGTACTGGGCCTGGGTCTCCCGCAGGTGCTCGTCCACAGCCTGGCACAAGCTCTGGGCCTCGCCCCAGTAGCCCTCCAGTTTTTCCATGCGCTCCTTGTTCTCCTCCACACTCTGCTCCAGCTGGGCCTTCTCCAGCCGCCACCTCCCCTTCTCCTGCTCCAGGCTCTGCAGCTGAGAGGAAGAAACACCCCTGGGTTGGCGGGGGCCAGAGTCGTTGGATGATTCCTGCAGATATGGAGCCCACTGCCCCCCCAACTACTGACTCTCCTTGGCTGAGCCTGAGAACCGAAAGCTGGAGAGGGAGGAGGTGGGACCACAACCTCAGCCTTCCCAGCCGGGGGCCCTGACGCGTGCCGCGCTCCTAGAAGGCCGGAGGCCCAGGATCGTCGCTGATTAGCTTGGGGACTTGGGGTAAGGCCACTTCTGTCTTAAGCCTTAGTCCTCCCATCTGTAAAGCAGGAGTGAGTCCTTCCTTGCCAAGCTCACAGTGAGATGGTGGAGGTAAAGGAGCAGGGCAGGTGAGGGTCACCATTGCCCTCTATCCCCTCTCTGCAGCCCTGGCTTCTGTGGCTTCCTCAACAGTCCTGGCTCCTCTCCCAGCTCCCTGGCCACCCCAGTGCAGACCTCCTAGCGCCCACAGCCCAGTCCTGGGGACTCTGTTCTCTCTCTACTCACCTCCTTCACCACCTCTGTGTACTGAGCCCCGTACCTCCAGCCCAAATTTACTCCCAGCTCCTCAGAGGCACCCTGCCCCCACCCACACAAACCTATTCCTCCTTTTCTGACTAGCCCACCTCCATCCAAAGGTACCATCATCTCACTGCCACCCCAGGGCTCAGCTTCAAGCCCCACTGCCTGCCCCTCAAACCTCGTTGGCTGCAAACACCCCTTGCCCTCTGTGTCCCAGCCACACGGGCCTTCGTGCACATCCCCAGACCTGCCACATTCCCTCTTGCTGCAGGGCCTTTGCCTCCCCGTTCCCTGTGCCTGGAATGCCCACACCTACCCTCCCACCGCCTCGTCATTTCCCACTAGCTCACCGTTAGGGCCTCTCCTTAGTGCATCACTTCCCAAGATGTCTCCCGTGATTCCCCTCTGACAGCACGGCCCACACACAGCCCGGCTGCATCAGGCTCTGCTGGCTCTAGGAGCTCCGCGGCCCTGTCCTCTCCTCTAGAGCCCGCGTCAGCTCCTGTGATACCAGTGTCGGTGCAGAGACGCTAAGCCGCACAAGGGCAAGGATCAAATCTGCTTTCGCCCATCACAGGTCCTAGACGGTGCTGAGCACTTAGAAGGCGCCCAGCAGTTCCTCCCCTTCATGCTCTGCATCTACCCAGGAACATGGCCTGTCACCTCACCCTAGAAAATGCAACTCAAATCCGCCCTTCCTATCCATTCCCTCTGCCTGTGCCCTGGGCAGCCCTGCCCATCCCTGCCGGGACATCACCCGGGTTTCTAACTGGTTCGCCGGCCTCCAAGTCCTGCTCACCCCCATGCCTCCCACTTTGTCGGCAGTGACCTTCCCCCTCGTGGCCCCATACGGCCAAAGAATCAAGGCTGGAGCCCTTAGCAGGGTGTCAGGACACTGCAAGCGTAGCCCACCCTGGCAGTCCAGCTGTCTCCCACTTCTCCCCCACAGGAACAGCTGCCACAGCCTGTGGGCCTCCTTCCAAAGCCAGCCTCCAAGCTCACGCTGGTCTCCCTGCCAGGAATGCCCTTCCCCTGCCTCAGTCATCTAAACCCTGCCCTCCCCCTGGGGCTGTTTCACACTCTCCTCTCTCCAGGTGTGCTGGTCTAAGCCCACATATGGGAGTGCACATGTGTGTACCTGGGTGCACCATGTCTGCACAGTCCCTATGTGCCCCTGCCTCTCCCTGCCACACTGGAAGCCCCAGGGGAACTGGGACTCCTAATGTCCAGGCCCAGCAGGGACCCAGTACAGACTGTGTATCAGAAGTCTGTGTATCTATGCCTGTGAGGGTGTTGGCACCCAGTGTGCTCATGTGGGTGTCTGTACATAGCACATATGTGTGTTTGTAGATGTCACGTGTGTGCACCAACTGCTAGCATCATCTCTGTGAGAATGCGCAGGTCCTGTGACACTCTTCTTGCGTCTCACAGCGGACGGACACAGCAGACGGGCACAGAGGTATTGCCACGTGAAGCATGGGTCCGTTGTCCCCGTGTTATGTCTGAGCAGAGTGGGTGTCTCTAGGTGTCTGGGTGAGTGAGTCTGTGGGTACCATGTGCCTGGGTTCGGGGCTGGTGCACGGACCCCTGGATGGTTTACGTTTACCGCTGGGCTTGTATGTAGAGGACACGTGTGGGACTGTGTGAACGTGAAGACATCCACGTTCAGCTGTTAGAATGCTGACGGCTAATAGCACAACTTTTTATTGAGCACCTATTATGTGTCAGACACTGTACTAGGGACTTTACGCGTATTATTCTATTTTATCCTCACAGTGATCCTACGGTGTTGGCACTGTTATCAACCCATTTTACAGGTGAGGAGAATGAGACCCAGAGCAGCAAGTGAGTGGTGGAGAGATGGGTCCAGAGCTTGCGCTCTTAACACTACCCTCCCTCACCTCAGAGCGGCTGGTTCTGCACGCACCTGTGGGTGGGGGGCAAGGGCCGGCGTGTGCAGTGTGAGGGTGGAGGGGTCGTTCCCCCAGCGCCCCGCCCCCACTCCCCGCCGCTCTTACCTTTCTTTTCAGCTGCTGGATCTCCGCCTCGGTCACGGCATGCTTGATCTGGAGCTGTGGGGGCAGGGGCGCAGGCACTCAGCTGGGGCTGGGGTAGGCAGTACTGCGGGGCTGGATACCAGCCTGCCCTTGCCTTCCACCAGCCCAGGGACCCCTCTGCCCACCTCCTTGAACTTGTGCACCAGCTTCTCAGGCTCCATGTCCACAGGGGACAAGGCATCCTCGTTCTCTGCCAGCTCGAACACCTCGATGGCCATCTCGCCACCTGGAAACGTGGGGCTCAGCTCCTCATCCTCGTCAGTGGCGTATTCTCCTGTCTGCGAAGGGAGACAGGCGGCTGTGCACCCTGCCCACCACAACCTCCCTCAGCCCTGAGGACTGGGGGCCCCCCAGGGCTGTGGTTCACGCCGCCCTCATCAGACTGGGGGCCACCCAGGGGCACGGTTGGTGTCTACCCCCAACAGCCTGGAGAGTCCCCAGAAGACAGGGGTAATTCCCCTGTAAGACTGAGGGCCCTGAAGAAACAGCCTCTGCTTTCCCCCTCACACAGCAGGTCCCCTGAGGTCTGGAACTGTCTCCTTCCTCAGACTAGGTCCCCTCAGAGTGGGGGCTCTTAGAGAGAACTACGTTTTTCTTGTAGGACCAGGAAGGCTTTCTGAAGACAGAGGGTGTGACTCTTCCATCAGACTAGAGGTTCTTTAAGGGAAAGGTCTGCATCGCCTCCCTCAGACTGGGGGCTCCCCCAGGATAGGAGCGTTGCTCTGGGGTTCTTCACAAGGCCTGGAAAGTGGCAGAGGCAGAGGACGGCTATAATACTCCATCAAGCCACCAGGGGGCGATGACGCTGCCAGCCAGGCGGAGCCCCTACCTCCTCGTCATCCTCCCCGTACTGGGCGTATCTCTGCTCCATCTCCCGCTGCCATCGCTCCTGTTCCAGGGTCTGCTGAATTAGCTGGGCCACCTCACTCTGCTCACCCGGCCGCTCCCGGCCAATCATAAATCTGCAGAGGCACCAGCATCGTTCCCTTTGTCTCTGTCCTCGGCCAGAAAATGCCACCATCCTCCCCGCTGGTATTCCCCTCTCCACATCCAGGTCCTCCCAGGGAGGTGAAATGGAAGAACTGAGTCCAGAGACTGCAGGGTGTTAATAATGCATGGGGTAGCAGGGGTCCCTTATTGGGTTTCCTTCCCAGGAGAAGCAGAGGCCCACTAGCCCTTCTGGCCAGTTTGTGGGGAGGGGAGATGTCAGCCAAACTTCAGGCTAGGCCGCAGGGGACAGGAGTTCGGGAGGTGCCAGCGTAGGAGCTCTTCCCCCACCACATGGGAGAAAACGAGGCAGGGGATTGGCGAAGCTGACCCTGGGGCTGTAGACGGGTGTCTTGTGTGCACTCCAAGGCCCTGAGCTTCAGGAAGGGGCGGGATGATGGCAACTAGAGATTAGGATGGAGAGGAAACAGTGGAACTTCCAGGCACCAGCCCCTCCTCTCCGTGGCCACCCACATCCTGTTTCTCTACCACCCTTTTCTGGGGGCAATGCCCCTCTTGGAGGGGGCAGGGAGTGGTCCTTGAATGTTATGCCAGAGAGGAACGTAGGGAGCTTCTAACCCAACCCCTTTAATTGACAGACCCAGGGAGGAGAGTCTTCACAGGAATCAGCAGGCTAGAGGGGAGGGAGGGATAAACTGCAATTTGGATGGCATTCTCCCTGCATGTCTTGGATCTTCAATGAATGAGTCAGGACAGGCAGGGAGAAAGGAAAATAAGCCCAAGAGGCCAGTTTGGAGGCATGGTGGACAATGGGCCTTGAAGCCTGAGTGCTGGTGGCTAGCAGCAGCCAGGGGCTAGAGATGTGAAGGCAGGCAGGGCAGGGGATAGGCACACCGCAGTTCCTTCTGGCAGGGAGGTGGTGAAAGCTCCTCTGTAAGTTGGGCCACCCAGAGTCTTAACTAGGCGTGGGCAGCTGGTCAAAGTGGCCAGATGAGGGCTGAGCCTCCTGTCTGCTCCCACTGCCCACCGCCCCCACCCTCCCGGGCCTCACCGCACACGGCCCTTGGTGTTCCGGAGCACGGAGGCTGCAAAGCTCTGGGTCACTCCCACCAGACTTGTTCCATCCACTTCCACCAGGAGATCATTCACCTGGATCCTAAGGGAGGTGACACTGGTTAGGGGGGGTCACGAGGCGAACTGTGGAGCTGGGGTAGCCATGGCCCCCCTCCCAACAGTAACTCAAGGCTCAGTCCCCACAGGGACCTGGTACTTTGTCTACCTGCGTAAGATGCATGAGGCCGGAGGACCAGGTATCAGCCAGGCCCATGGGCAGTGAGACCCAGGCATCCAGGACCAGGAATGGCGGCAAGCACACTCACCATGACAATCACAAGCTATTTCCCCTCCTCCACCACACTCGGCAGACCAGTGTGACAGCCACAGAGCTCATCACGGCCATGCACACCAGCAAGGGCCGGCCGCGCACACGTTAACACACAGCCTTCTTACACATCCATTTCCGTGCAGACCTGAGTCTGCAGATTTCCTCCAAATGCCTGAGACCTGTGTTCACACACAGTCCCACAGGGTCACCCCCTGCCCCCATACAGGTGCACAGCCCCCAACACGCTCCAGCTGTGGTGCTGGAAGCCCTTGTTCTCCACACAAGGAGAGAGATGGGGGTGGTCCAGACTGGCCGCCGAGGGGGATGAAAGCGTGGGAGGGACCCTCGGCCACCTCCTTCCTCCACTCCCACCTCCCCCCGGAGTGCCAGGCCTCCTCGCAGGGCTCCCACACAGAAATGGAGGAGACAGCCTACTGTAAACAGCTCACACCAACACGCCCCGTGTGGGGACACTCTCACATGCACACACACTCCCCACCCGGCCAACGAGAGACCATGGGAAAGGCTCTGGAAAGTTCAAATGAGGGGGTAAGTGAAAGAGCAGGGATGGCCTTCCTTCCTTTTCTCTGACCCCCCAACCCCAGCCCGCCATGCCACCTGGGCTGCAGCAACAGAAGCTCCCTGAATGAGGCAACCCCACCTCCAGCATCATGACCCCGGTCCTCACAAGGACACCCACTCACCTCTGTCACGCGGAGGGGTCTGTGCTTAGAGGTACCACAAGGTACCCCTGATATCAGCCTTTAACTTACAATAACCCAGGGGTGCCCTACAGCTGTTCCCACTCCCCCTCTGCAATCCACACACAGCAGGGAGGCTCCAGAGGGGTCACTGGGCTGCCCGTAACTCCAGGGGGTCTTCCTGAGCCCTCTGACCCACAGAACTCACACCCTCCAGCCTCAGAGGCCAAACACAGGCACACAGGCAAGAAGCAGCCTCCTCCCTGGCATGCCCCCACTGGCTATTCCAGCCTCACCGCACACCTGATCCCTTGTGGTCTCTAGCTCCAGCTATACCTGCCTGCTTTCGGTGCCCTGCCTGCAATGCCTTGCATGCCCCACTCCCTCAGCCTAGCTAACTCTTGCTCATGCTTCGGGTCTCAACTCCAACATCACTTCCTCCAGGAAGACTTCCCTGATACCCAGAGAGGTCAAGCCCTCCTGTTTTAGGGTTTAGTGGCACCCTGTATTTTTCTCTGTTTCACCATTTTCTGGGTATCCACTATTCATCCATCTGCCTCACTACACTACATGCTTCCTGGGGGCAAGGCCTCAACACTGACTCCCCAGCGCCTGGCACCAGCCCTACAACAGTGTCAGAGGCTCAGTGTTTGCTAAACGAAAAAAAAAAGCTCACAGGTACTCTGCTAGGACAGAGCCTCCACACCCGTGCTCTCCTCCCCATGGCCCAACACACACTCAAAACCAGGACACACAACACCTACACATAGCCTCCTAGCACGCAAGTGCCATGAGGGCGAGCGCTCCGTCTGTTCTGTTCAATGTACCCCCAGGGCCTGGACCAGCACCTGGAACAGTAGTGCTCCACGAACATCTGAGCCCCACACAGGTAGTGGCCTGCCCCGCCTCGCCCAGTGGCCCGCCCCATAGATGATGGCTGATCAGGGAAGGGGAGGCGGTACCTGCCGTCCCGATGGGCCGCACCGCCTTCAGTCACAGTCTTAACAAAGATGCCCAGCTTCTCCAGGCCCATGTCTGCCCCGGCCCCCATGCCAATGATGCTGATGCCCAGGCCCTCGGAATCTGTGAAGCAGAGGGTGATGAGAAGCAGGTAGGGGGGTGGGGTGAGGAGCTCCAGCCTGGGGCTTGCAGGGGACAGAGTGAGAGACTCCCCATCCCCTACCCTCATGCTGAGGTATGGCCTCACCTCAGGAAGCAGTCTCCACGTGGGGATGTCCCACACCTGGGGAAGGGACATGGTTCTGTCCACCTCTTCTCTGCCAAGCCAACTAGGATGCTCTTGGGCCACTGCCTGCCCTCTGCCCCGTCCAAAGAACAGACGTGCAGCAGGGCGCGCTGAGGGGTACTGTCTGTATGCAGACGCAGGTGTGTGGTGGCCACAGGACCACTGAGGGAGCCACGATGGGGATGATCTCCCCCCTCCCTAAGCAGTCTCATCCCTGCTCACAGCCTTTATAATTCAAGACCTCCCGCTTTTGTCTCCCCCTAGACCCACTCCTCTCTCCACAGCTGCTGCCCCCGCCTGTCTAACGGGCTTCTGACATCCAAACTCATGATCTTCCCCCACAAACAGGCTTTTCCTGTCTGCCACTCCTTCATGGGGCCTGGGAGCCACCTGGATTCCTCCCGCCCCCTCGTACCCTCTGTGGAAGCCAAGTAACCACCGAATCTTGCCGATCCCACCTTCCAAGAAGCTCTCAAGTTGTTCATCCACTTCCTGCACGGCCATCATCTTGTCCACACCACAGTGGCCCCTCTCCATCCACTTATAACCCTTCACCCCACAGCACAGCCTGGTGTGGTGTCTCTAGAATACCTTTCCCAGGCCTTGCAAGACTTCCGGTCCATCTTAGAAAAAAGTGGTCTACAAGGCCTTGTTTGCACACCCTTCTTCCCCCACCCTCTGAATCCACCAGGTCTCTCCTCTCTCCCACACGCTCCCCTGATCTCCTCTTCAGGGCTCAACTCTAGCATCACTTCCTTGGGGATCTCCCCGAGTCTGGTCAGGTTTCCTGTTAAATGCTGTTATAGCGGTCCCTCCCTTCTTTTCCCGGCCCCCTCACTGTACACAAGGAGGTAGTTAGATGTGACCATTCCACCCGGGCCTGCCCCCCACCTCCACCGTCGCTCTCCCATCAAGGCTTGGCCCACACAGCCCAGGACCCAGCCCCCAGTGCTCCCAGGGGGCCTGATGACTTCAGGAGCACATAGTGCAACACGACAGGGGTGGTGGCGGTAGGAGCTTGGGCTGGGCTGAGTCTGTGGGGCCGTGTGGCGCTGACAGAGGCCCAGTTAGAGGTAGAAGCAGAACGTCTCTGTGGAAGCGCCTGAGGGTCCAGGGCGGAAGCTGGCACGGGGGAGGAGGCGCAGGAGGCCCGGCTCACCCTTCTCCAGCTCCACAGGGAACAGCTCCAACCTCTCCACCCGCTTCTCCAGCTCGTACTCAGCAGAGGCTGCCATGGGATCCACGTCCTCGTTGCGGCGATCATAGTCCTCGTTGGAGTAGGTGCTGAACACCTGGGGAGGAGGCCGCCTGTCAGAGGAGCCCGCAGGAGGGCGAGTGCTAAACCGCTGAGAGGGGGCCCAACGGGCAGGCTGCGCCACCCGCCGTGCTCCCCTCCTGCCACAGGCCTCCCCCAGCCCGCAATGACCCCAGCTCAGAGTGGGGGCCCTTCTAGTTCCGGAACTGTGGGGCGAGAGAGAAAGGGAGCCAGCCTTGCCGCATCCACACCATTACACCCCTGCAGCTCCGACCACATGAGCGTGGCCAACTGGAGTAGGAAAGGAAGGTCAATGCCGGAGAAACTGTCACACTCAGGAACCCAGGTCCCCAGGTCAGAGAGAGATGGACAGACAGCCCCTGTCCCAGACAGAGGCGAGGGTGGGCACGGACACAGACGGCAGGAGAGAGGAAGGAACAGGATGAGGGGAAGAGAAGAAAGAGTGAAGGAGATGCTGGAGGATGCCAGATTTGGGGGGTGGCGGACAGGAGTGGAGACGCAGGGAGGGGGAAGGGAGGAGAGCGGTAGAAAGAGGCAGAGGGGCACCCAGGACCCAGCTGACCTGAACCTGAAGTGGAGGCCAGGGTGGAGGAGGGAGGCAGGAAGGACCACCTCTACCCCAATTGAGAGGGCAGGCCAGAGGAGCCCCTATGGCCTTGCCTGCACAGCCAGGCCTCCGTCTCCCTCTAGAACCTCAGCTCTCTGAGGTACGCCCCTATCCCCGGGGCACTAGGAGGCCTGCGCAGAGGTCCTGGGCCCAGTGCCCTGTAGAAAGCAAGGAAAGCAGGAAGGTGGCAGCCTCTGACACTGTCCACAGCGAACCCGGCCTTACTGTCCCCTGTACCCCTCTGCTGTCTCTCAGCAGAAAGGGAAATTCCCCAGCCTGACCCTCCTCCAAAGAACAGAGAAGTTAGGACAAGGGCTCTGCAGGAGTACCTAATTCTGGGCCCAGGCAGGGTGCCCCTGGTGGGAGGTTAATAAGCACCGTTTGGGGTACCATGACGTGTTCCTGCTTCACTGCCTGCAGCGACAGGCTAGCACCACTTGGAGCCAAGCGGGGGCGACGAAGGGTGGCAGCAGCTCTATCAGATGGCTGGGCCTGAGGCCTGAGCAGCTGAAGTGGGGCACCGTCTCCCCCAAGGCCCCTGCCAGGGCCCCACTCCTCCAGGAGCAGGCTCCACGGGCACCCAGGCCGGCAGCGGCACTCTTGTGTCCCAGCCTTGGTTTGGTGTCACCCCCGCGAAGCCCCGCCACTCCCACAAGGGGGCTCCTAGCTGCAGGAGTCCATGTGGTCACTTAGCTCACTGCCCTCAACTTCACAGCATCAGAGAAAATTGAACACGAACCCTGAAAAGCTCCTTGTGGATTGTGCAGTGGTCGGACCGCCCCCCCGACATCTGGCCAGCAGCCCCAAGCTCCTGGGAGGGACAGGCTACCTCATCCACACATAGTGCAAGATGCCAGGTCCGCTGCCCAAGGTCACGGGGGTTAGCCTGTGACAGGGCGGATGAGACTGGCGGGTGGGTCACTGAGACTCTGTCCCCTTTGCACATATGCCCCAGGCCCTGGGACAGGGGCTGGTGTGTGCCTAGACCCGGCAAACTGGCTTTGGCCCCCTTCTGTATCTGAGTCCCTTTGACCCTCACCCTCTACTCCAGCAGAGATGCTCCCTTCATCCCTCAGTCTATGTGGTGGCCTGGGTCAACAACCCCCCCCCCCCCCAGTGCGTAAGCACACGCAATCTCTCTCTCTCACACACACACACACAGTGACCTCCATAACACCCTCACAGCCTGTCCTGGGCTTTGCCCTCCCCTCTTTTCTCAGCCTATCAAATCCTGCCCCCTGCAGGAAGCCCAGGCCTCAGGCTCAGAGGTCCCAGACCACCACTCACCACTGCCCACCACCATGTGCCCAGCCTACCTCGGGGCCCTGGACCCAGGCCCCCCTCTCCAGGTGACAACCTGGAATTGAGCTCTCTGTCCTCAGCAGAAGCCTCCATAAAGGCAATAACTGGGTCATCCAAGGGGCACAGGACCTGGACTTAGTATCAATGCATGGGGCGCAGCAAAGAGAGGGAAAAACTGGGGGGTGGGGGGAGGAAATTCCCAGTAAGGTCAAACGTCAGACACGCACAGGCGGTACCACGCACCACAGGCTCCCACACACAGGCGAGCGACAGTCACCAGGGAGTCAAAGAGCACTGTTCCAAATCATGTGCTATTTTCTACCAAAAATCAGGGTAAGGTGTCAAATATAGACAGTCAGAGGCCCGGGGCTAAAAGACCAAACTCCAACTGAGGGGATCAGACAGCTCAGAGAACTGCCGGTGGTGGTGGGGGGGGAGGTCCTGACCGCCTCAGTGGTCCCCACCTCTGTCCTCAGTGTCCCAAGAAACACCCATAATCTTCAATTCTCTCCCTCCAGGATGCCAGTACCTTCAGAAGAGGAGAGGGGAGGGGAAACGGCTTGTGAGGTCACAGCTGGGGGAAGGGGCTGGCCCAGGCGGGGAGTAGCACTTTTCAGGCCCCCTGGGGTGGAGGTGGGAGAGGAACAGAGGTTAAGATGCTGGGGCAGGTGAGAGGAAACTTGGGCAGCTTCAGTGTCCAGGAGTAGTTATGGAAACTTCAGTCAAACAGATGAGGGTAAAGGCTGGACTTTCCTTGGCCTGGACACCCCCATGAAGCAGACTTGGAGCTGGGCACAGCTGAGCCTGGCGTGGTGAGAAAGAGCCTTTAGGCTGAATGTGCCAGCCAAGAATGGAGGGTAGTAGGAAAGGCTGTGGTAGTAGGAGGGCTGTGGTTCTTAATTCTCCCAGGGATCTCACCATCAACATTCTCCTGAGGATCTCAGGGCACTGGCACAACCCACAAACCAATCACCAATAGAGTGTGTGTGTGTGTGTGTGTGTGTGTGTGTGTGTGTGTGTGTGTGTGTGTGGTGTGTGTACACGCAGCTGAGTCCCCAAATAGTGTGTGTGTGGTGTGTGTGTGTACACGCAGCTGAGTCCCCAAAAAAGAGGCAGCTCCCATCCCTCTTTCAGGGCACCCAGAGAATGAAGCAACAGCTCTTGGGTCCTGCCAAGGCCAAGAGCAAAAGGAGGAGACCGCTGCCTGGCACCTGGGGGTTTCCCAGCCTCACCCGCTCCCTTCTCCATACCCTTCAGAAGGCCTAGCCTCCTCAAAAACCACAGAGAGTGCCTGCTCCCTGTGGAACCCTGTACCCCCACCTCGGGAGCTGGCCCAGCACAGACCCCAGGGAACAGGGCCCGAGTCACGTGGCCCCAGCTCAGCTCAACCTCACAGACCTGCTTCCCTCTTTCAGTTCTGTAAAGTTGGGGTGAGGGCTACAGACATTTTGGAGGAAGGGCTGCAGGCCACTGCACGTTCCTGCTCCTCCATCCCCCTATGCAGCTCTGGTGCAGGGGGAAAGCAGGGGTGTTTCTAAGCTCCCCAGGCCCCTCCAGCCCAGAGTGGAGTAAGGACCAAAGTGGGGAGGCTCTCCTGAGGACACAGGTACACACGCACACACACATACACAGACACACCTTCCCACCACCCAAGCCCACGCCTCTGGCAGCCTCTGGAGGACGAAGGTCTGGGAAAGGAAGGGAAAGCAGGTGTCCCAGGACCCACGCAGGGCAGGGCAGGTGAGCCCCAGGGCTGGGCGGGGCAGCGGGCACAGGAATCTGAGGGCAGGTCAGAGCAGGCCACCCCGGCTCAGGCCTAAAAATCTTCCACCTCCAACAAACAGCTGGAAGTCCCCCAGGCCCCCCTTAGGGTGGTAACTTCTGGGAAGGGGGCTGGGTGACAGGGCTTGACTCAGCCTGCCAAACCCGGCTGGCTGGCGAGGCGGGGGCGACTGCGTGCACGTGGCAGGGGCGGCGCGGGGGTGGGGAGGGGGGTTCACTTACTTGGATGGGCGCCGTGCTGAAATGGATCTTCCGGCTCGGGGCCGGGTCCTCTTCTTCCGAAAGCCCCGGGATCTCCACACACCCCGACTCGGGCTCGTAGGGGGGCTCACCCTCCTCCTCATCTTCGTCGTCGTCCTCCTCCAGGGCACTGCCCCCAGAGTCCTCCCCCAGCCCACTGTAGGCGCTCACGTCCACCAAGTCCGCCTCCGAGAAATCCTCCTTCTTGGACTCGTCCACCTCCTCGGGGGCCACGTCCGGGGCCCGGCCATTGCCCACCCCTCTCTCAGGCGCCGCCACGGTCGCCGCCTCCTCCTCGGGGGCCGCCTGGGCCTTCTGCTCCTCGGGCGCGGGGCTGGCGGTGGTTGCCAAGGCGCTGCCATTCTCCAGGGCCGCATGGACCGTCACCTCCGCCTGGATCACCTCCGCGGGCGCCGCCTCGGCCTCCGACTCCCCGCTCTCCTCCACCTCCACCGGCTTTATCTTGCGCACCTCCCGAGGCTTGGGGGGCGGCCGCGCGGGGGCCACTCGGTGCTGCGGGGGCTGCTGCCCTCCGGGGCCGCGCTCCTTCTCGGCTGGGGCATCCCCCGACGGGGCGGGCGGCGGCGGGGGCGGCTGAAACACCCGGGACCGCTTGCTGACCAGCTTCGAGTTGACCTGGGGCGCCCCGGCGGCCGCGGCCCTGGGCAGCCCCGGCGCGCGGTGGAGGCCGGTCCTCGAGTCGGCCTTCTCAAAGACGGCGCTGAGCTGACTGACCGTCGGCGACACGGCGTCGGCGTCCAGCTTGTCCAGCGCCTCGGTGCTGCCGTTGAAGCGCACCACGACGTCCAGCTTCCGGTCCTGCAGGCCGGCGCGCTCCTGCCTCAGCAGCCGCCGCGCCGCGGCCTCCTTGTCGCCGCCCGCGGCCGCCGGGGCGCTCCGTTCGAACAGCTTCCGCGTCTCCTGCAGCCGGGACGGCGGGTGCGGCGGCGGCGCAGGCTGAGCGGAGGGCGCGGGCTTGGAGTCGAAGCGGCTCACGCGCTCCGACACGCTGGTGCCCAGCTTCAGCAGGGCACTATGGTCCACGTTCTCGTTTAGGCTGCTGGCCCGCGGCAGCGACAGGCGCACGCCGCGCTCGGGCGCCCGCAAGGCCTCAGTGGGGCCCGCGCCGCCGCCCGCCTCGCCCGCCGTCGTGCCCATCTGCAGGAACATACTTTTGATGCGGTGGACGTTGGAGCCATATTTCTTGTGGTGGGCCGCCTTGGGTGCCTCGTCTGGCCCGGGCGCGTCGGGCGGCTTCAGAGCCTGGATGCCCGCCTCGTAGGCGCTGCGGTGCGGGGAAGCGCTCCGGAGGGGACCCCCGGGCCCCCGCGGCTCCGTCTTCATCATAGTGGGGGGAGCCGGGTTCTCATCCCCACACTTCCCGCTCCCCCCTTCCAACAGGCGGCTGGCCAAGTCGGGACCACCGCCCCCTCCCCCAGAGAAAAGGAACCCCGAAAGGCCTTTTTTAGCCTCCCCCCAAAACCAAGCTGCCCAAAACAGTTAACCTCGATTTAAAAAAGAAAAAAAAAAAAAGGGAAAAAATATCTCCGAGAGCCCTGTGTGGGTCGCCTCCCCCAGTCAAGCTGCCAAAGACAGCCAGCCCCTCTACCAAAGACCGAGCGGCCTGGAACGGTCGCCCCCACCCAAATTAGAAAAGCGGCGGCCGGGGCCGGTGGGACTGCGAGCCCTGCCCGCGAAGCAGCAGCGGAGGCGCCGGCTCACATCGTCCGAGGCGGTGTCAGCGGGGCTGGTAGCCCCGGCACCCCCAACCCCGGCCGGGGGCCTTGGCTCTTGGGGGGCCCGGCACCAGGGCCCCCATGGCTGCTCGGCCGGCCCGGGCCGCTCCGCCGCTGCACTACCCTCCCTCCCTCCCTCCCCCCCGCGCCCCGAGCCTCGGTCTTTCTCTGGTTCTGCCCGAGCGGCGGCTGCCGGAGACCAAGCTGCTGCCCTTCTCGCAGCCGCCGCTGGGGACTGGCACCTCTGGGTCCTAAAGGGATCGGATTTCCGGGGCCGGAGCCTGTGAGCCCTCCCCTTCCCCTCCACGCGATTGTATTCCCCTCCCCTGCCCGTTCCTCGCCACAGCCTTCCACTGACCCCAGACGCTGGCTTGTACACTTCAACCCTTCCATCCCAACCTCTGACTGTGGCTTTTCACAACCCACATAACCGCACTACCACTAAATATTGGGGGTTGGCAATCCAACCACTGTGGTCTCAGTGTGGCCCTCCTCTACCCGAGGTGTGGAGGGAGAATAGTGGGGAGGGGCAAAGGATCATTTCCTTCAAGGTCCTTGGAGCTTCCTAGTATAGTTCACTTTGAAAATTTTAAAAATTCAGATTGCCCTGGAATCTGCATTTTAACAATTTCCCATAGGGAACATTTTGCACCCTTTAAGGCGTGAAACCTTGGCCCAGTGTTGCTGGCCTTATGGTGGAGGAGGAAGGGGAAGAGAGAAAGGAGATGGTCCTCATCACCCAGGTGGCAGTCCGAAGCTGGCTTTTGCCCTCTGCAATTCTGAAGAGGGTGTCCTGTCACCTGCCTGCACTGCACCCAGGCTGGGAAAGAAGGGGTGGTATGCCTGTCTTCATGGCCTTACTAGAGCACTCCTGCCTCTCAAACAGGAAGAAGGAGTTTTGGAGGAGGAATTCTGGAGGCCTGGGGCCAGAGTTTCACCAGTGAGAGCTCTAGCTTGTATCTCTACTCTAAAGGATTCTGGCCACTGTGTGCAAGTGTGTGTAGGGAGGGAGGGGGAAGGGTGGCAGTGACCTATACGTTCCCTGTCCTGGCAGCTGTTTTGATGCTCCCCCCACCCCCCACATACACAACAAGGGGCCTGGAGTTGCCCTCTACCCTTCCCCAGATGCCCGGGCCTGGGAGTGAAGGTCCACCCCCTAGACCATGACAGATCCAGATGCACGGCTTCACTCCACAGAGCCCAGAAAATGATGAACGTTGTGGACCCTAGGACCCAGAGAACAACTCAGGCACAAAGCCTCCCCCCACTCCCAGCTGCTTCCTGCATCTCAGGCCTTCCTGCAGCCTCTGCCTCCTCCCCCGCCCTCTTCCCTTCCATCCTCTTCCTCTTCTCCCCAATCTCCCACTACCCACTGCCCTTGCCTGGAAGGGCTGTCGAAAGGAATCCTCTCACCTCTCCACTGTAGGGATATGTGTGGGTTTTGTGCGATATAAACTGGTTAGCACGTGCAAAAGAGCGTGGGGGATGGGGTGTGGGAAGCCGCCTGGGAACCCTGAATATTGGGACAGGGAGGGGCCAGGAACCACAGGACTGGATCTTGAGGCTGGCAATCCTGAGGGTAACGGAGAGGAAGGATTTGGGTTCTGAGCAGGAGCTTTGGGACTTGGGTTTCCAAGCTCAAGTCTGGGATTTGAACCTCCCCACCCACAGCGCCCCCGCCCCCGGCCCCGCCCCCGCTCAACCTCACTATAGAAGTTGGGTGAGACAGAAGTCTCACCTAGTTGGGGATTTGGGCGGTGTCCTCAGAGGCTCTTGTGTGGATTGGGGGAGGGCACAGGCCCCTGGGTGTTCCGCCCAGAATCTCCCACACCCTTTGGTGAGTCATTCTAACTGGTCCCAGCCCAAGGGGTCTGTGCCCATGCTTCTGGCCAGGTGGGGAAGCCAGCTTCTAAAGGATGGGAGGACGAGGTGGGAACCAAGTCAGGCCCAGTGGACGCTCCCCACCCCGACCCCCAACAACATCTCCAGCAGCAGCTTGGAGTGGACTAGAATCGGGATGCTTGCGTCCCCCTTGTCCTGAGACTTCCAAGAGTGAAACTCTTTTAAGTACTTCGGGATGCAGGACAGTTGGAGCCAGCCCAGAGCTCGGAGGACTGAGGCTAACGAGTGGGATCATTATTTCCTGGGCGACACCCCCTGCCAGTATTCCCGAAGAAGCTTTTATGGAGCAATGAGTGCTTTAGCATCTCACTCCTTCCCCGCGGTCAGGCGCCAGGCCGGCTGGCCTGTGAGAGGAGTGGGGAAGGGCTGTTATCTTCTCCACCCAGTCCCTGCCTGCCTGAGGCAATAATCACACCTGCAGGGAGGGTGAGGAGGGCGGTTACTTTGGGGAGGGTTACGCCCAAACTGAAGGGTTTGAACCTAATTTTCATTCCTCGGGCTGTGATCCTCAGATCCTTACTTATCTCCCAGGGTAATTTAGCCATTCTTTCTCTCTCCTTTTTCCTTTGTGGAACTGCCTGATGGTCTTTGAATGGAAGTTCCTTCCTTACCTCTGACGTGGAATAGAGTGGTTCCCAAAGCTGGCGCAGGAGCCAGGCTGCCAGAGTTCAAATCCTGGCTCCACCACTTACTAGCTGTGTGACGCTGGACAAATCCCTTAGCCTCTCTGTGCTCTGATAAGGGTAAACTGAGGTGAAAGTGTGGAACACAGAAAATAGGGTGTGTGCCTTTCCCAGTTCTTGCTAAAAAGCCTGGAGGCTTCTATAGGGAGAGGTAATCTTTATTCTCCAGATAAAGCCCCTCCCTGTTTTCCCACCTACCCTCAAATCTGATGGGGGCCCTCTGATCCCAGACGCGCAGGCTCAGCGGCCATGGCTCACGGGCCCAGCCGCTCTGTGACATGTGGGATCTTCCCAGACCTGGGCACGAACCTATGTCCCCTGCATCGGCAGGCGGACTCTCAACCACTGCGCCACCAGGGAAGCCCGAGGCTTCATAGTTTTAAACACCAGGTGTTAACTGCAAAGACAGGTGATGAAGGTGATGAAGGCAGGGAGAGACCTGATTTGCGATAAATCCCAAGCTCTTAGCGCCCTGGGCTCACATCCAGGCTGGGTGCCAAGGCTGCCTTCTCTTCCCAGCCCTGGGGCCTTGAGACTCAGCCTCGGAAAGTGGTGTTTCCGTGGCTAGGGTCATCTGAGCAAAGACTGGCCTAGACCCCGCTCTTTGGTCGTTTTGTAGTGAGCCAGTGGCCCCTGCCCCAATCACTCTCCTTCATCTGCCCTCCTCTGCCAGGGACTCGGGCTAATCCGAGGATGCTGGAAAGGCTTGCCTATGTGTACATATGTTTTATATACAGGAGAGCTCAAATCCAGGATGTCAGTGTTGAAGGGCCTTTAGCGGCCCTTGGCTGACCCCTTCCAGGGGGAATGAGGAAGGCTGAGACTTGAAGTGGGAAGTGACTTACCAGTTTTGGAGGAAAGAGACCAGGGTTCACAAGGTCTGAACCGAGCCCTAACTCCACGCATTTGCTGAGTGACCTTGGGCTAGCTGTTTCCACTCCCTAAGCCCCAATTTCCTCAACTTGCTCAAATTTGAATGTCTGAGTGTGTCTCCTGAGCGTAGGTGATCCTGGTTGTTCCCAATTCTGGAACAGAGCAGAACATGGGCTTTGCAGCCAGACCATCTTTGTTAGACTCTCCAACCTGCCACTGCCCAGTTAAGGGACTTCAACAAATTTCTTCATGTGTAAAATGGAGATAACAGACCAACCTCATAGTGTTGTGAGAATTAAGTACATTTAGAACAGCTCCTGGCACAAAGTAGGAGCTTGGTTGTTATTGATTACATGTATATCTGAACGTGTATGGGTGTGTGTGCACACGTGTACACGTGTGGGGAGGTATGACTGAAAGTGGGCATCGGTATTTGCATCTCCACGTGTGTCTTCATTGGACTATAGGGCCTCTCGTTTCCTCTGAAGGTCTATTATATGAAATTCTGAAATATAAGCACCCCCTGCCTGCAGCTCCTCCAAAGCTTTTGGGATCATCCCTGGAGTGAAGGTGACCTTCCTTCTCTACCTCCCAAAGTGTTTTTCATTCCTTCCTCTTAGTGTCTCAAGTCCCCCAGTGCCCCTGCAGAAAGAGTGCCCCTTGGGGTCCTCCCACAGCTGGGAGACTGGCTTGCCTGGGTCCCTATGCTCTGCCCCGCTTTCTTTCATCCACCCTCCACGCTGAATTCTAGTGTCACTTGGAAAGTTCAGATACCTCTTAGAGATTCAGGAAGGAGACCAAGAAGGAAGAGTCAGGGTGTGTGTGTGTGTGTGTGTGTGTGTGTGTGTGTGTGTGTGTGTGTGCTGGGGGCAGGGAAGGGTTAGGACAGAGGAAAGATTTCTCCAAATCGTCAGTTGCTTTAAAAGAAAGCCTATATTTAGCTATAGGCTTAGAGGGTTTGTAAATATGTATTTTGCAAAGCAGACAGCCATAGCCGTCGGAGCTCCAGAGATATGCAGGGAGGTCAAAGAAAAAAAAATAACTGGAAAGATTGAGCAATATTCTTTTGTCATCAGCAGATTCGAAGAACTCTCTCCTGCCTGCTCCAACTGCTATTATTACACATTCCTGTGTTTTGATGTTGGTTTCTGTTTTTCATCTGCTCTCTGGATCTGCAGTGGATGCCTGGGGAAGAGACTGGCTCTCAGAGTCACCTTCCCACCAGCCTTTGCCTCACCTGCCCAAGGTCAAAGGAGAGAGAATCCTGGCCCTGCCAGCTCCCCTCCCAACTGGTTCCACCGGGCTCGGCCAGGCTGCATGCGCCTGGCCTAGGTACTGTCTGCAAAGCCAGCTTTCAGGCTCCACACTCAATCCTTTGCACTTCAGGTGGCCTTGAGGGTGAGGGTTGGGTGACAAATCTTGCCACTTCAGGGCAGTTCTACTTTAGAGAACTCTTGTTTCTGAGAGAAAAAAAAAAAGAAAAAGAATGTACTTTTACTTTTAGTTTGAAAAGTTTCTTTAAAAATAAGAAAAGTTCAGGGAATTCCATGGCAGTCCAGTGGTTAGGACTTGGTGTTATCACTGCCGTGGGCTCAGGTTTGATCCCTGGTAGGGGCCAAAAAAAAAGAAAAGTTCAGAGAATCACATAACAAACAGAATTTATA